CTACCACGAACATCAAATCTCTGATAAAAGAATATCCATTCTCCACCTTAATAATCAAACCACAAAAGAAATTTCCAAAAAATAAACCTGAAAATCGACAATGAACATAGAATTATGGAGAAAGGGATCAAACCCTGGTTGCATATGGGTATTCCATTCTATTCCAACGCCAACAAAGGAAGCTCCAGCAGAGAAAGTTTCCCCATCTCAAATGTATCATATATAGAGCTAGAGTTATATTCATACGGTCCTACCTAATTAAGAACTAGTTTTGGAAAAGATGATGCCTAAGTTAAATCACAGAGGCCCCATAAATTACCAAATAATCCAAGATTAACGGCTGAAGAAACAAACAATCAAAAGATTAACAACCAATTAAAATTAAGAGAAAATATAGCAAAAGAAGAACCAAAGAACGTACCTCTTCTTGGCTTGGTAGCAATTTTAACAGCCGCCGGTTTTTTCACAGTTTCAGTCTCCTCCTCCGGGAACAAAACACCATCAATTCCCTGCACCGAAATCCTTCCATCCCTATAAATATCCGGGTCGAACAGATATGCTGACCCGTCGCCGTGCCCGAACTTGACCGACCCATCTGCCTCTTGAGCCACCAACTTATGGGGCAACCGCAGAGTATCATACCTCACTTTTCCAAATCTCCTCACCGCATTGTACATGCTCTCCTCAGTCTGGTACTCGGGTATGATGTGGTAGTAGATAATCTGCTCCGGTGCACCGGGCTCGCTCAGTTGATCGGTGGTGAGCTTTGCCATGGCTTCATCATTAGGTGCCAGCACTGTTAGCACGTACCCTTCTGACACTAATCGGCCCATCTCTGTCGCCAGGGAGGTGAGATTGACCAATATGTCTGCCATTTCGTTGTAGCCTCCATAATGCAACAGGGTCTGAATAAAGTCCTTCACCTGGCTCTCACCGTCGAAGTGATGATGGTGTCCGCCAGGTCCGGGAGCCGGCGCCGGAGCTAGTGAAGGACCCGGTGCCATGGCTTCGTAGATCGGAAGCACCGGTGGAGCTCCAACAGGAACTGGTGCAGCCGGTTTCTTCAACCGATGAGTCCGTGGATCCACCTCAGGGGCACCCTCAGGAAGGACGGCAGATATGGACCGCAAGTTCCGCCTCTTGTTAAAATCTTCCTGCACAGACCGGGGAACAAGCAGCTTCTCGATCCCATGGATGACGCCGTCGGGACGGATGACGTCATCGGGTCGGACAATCTCCGCCGAATCAACAGTTCTCTTCCCGGATGCCTTGCTGGTCAAGTGAAGGTGGTCGCTCCAGAGAGTCTGATGCTTCATGGAACCGGACTTATCACCGGGCCATTCATCGGCGCCGATTCTCTTCGGAAGAATGTGAAACATCAGGAGAGTCTGAAGAGATTTCAGGTTGCCGGGTTCAAGCAAGAACCGCTTGAACTCGGGGTCAAGCCCGCGTTCCAAGGCCTCATTTCTGGGCGCAAAGATGGTAATATTATGCTTGCCGACAGCTTCTTCGAGAGTCTGGAGAAGGAGAGCCTTCTCCACAAGCTCAGCGAGCTCAGTATAATGAGAGTCAAGGAGAGCGACGAGGACAGAGTTGGAGTTGATTTGACCCGAAGCAGAAGAAGCTGAGAGCTGCGACTTAGAAGACGACGATCGGTTTTGCTGCAATGCAGCATCGGTAAACGAAAACGAGACCAAGAAAACGAAGAGTAAGAGCTTGGAGACACCATAGATGTGTGAATCCATGGTGCTCAAAGATAGAGAAGAGAAAAAAACCAGTGTTGCGATTAATGTGAATGTGATAGTCTCTTTACTTGGACTAACCTCTGGAGGATGGTGTGTGGTTTGGAATTTGCGAAAAGCAGAAATGAAGGGAAAAGTAGAAGTGCGTTAATGGCGTCGGTTTGTGGGTATTGGAGAGAGGTGGTTGTCGGGTCGGGTCAGGGAAAGGACATAAGAAGAAAGTTGAGAGAGAGAGAGAGAGAGAGGAAGAGTGTTGTCGTAAGGAAAGTGGAGAGTAAAGGAAGAGTTTAATGAAGGAAGTGATGAGACAGGCTGGATGTGGGGTCCACACGGAAGCAGACTGCTCCCTTACTGTCAGCTTCTTCCCCCAGCTGGCCTCTCTCGGCTAAGCCTACTTTTTGCTTAATCCTTTTTTTTTAATCTAATTAATTCTTAATCTTGATTATAAATTTAATTTAACTCTAGTTATCATACTATTGTTAATTAATGTTAATACTAAATATAATTTTTGTAATAAATAAAAGCGGAGAAGCCATGTGAAGCGCGTGGCAAGGAAGGACAAAGGCGCGGCTTGAGATGAGGGAATATCACATGCGTGGGGACTTCGAGAGAAGTTGTCGGTGTGTGAATAGTAGCGGCCTCGTTTCTACGCTAAGCTTTATACCAAGACGCGCCTCTCTCCAACAGGCACGGCGCGTGGAATGCGCCAAGTTATGTACCTCTCGGATTTTTTTGGTTTTAAAAAAAAAAAAAAAAAGGAGAAGTAAACGGCGACGTTTAGACAGCCGGTGGGTTGTTTGTCTCCTTCACTTGTCCTTTTGTGTTGACACCCACCGGTAAACAAATTCCCACTCTCGTCCTTGGGTTTGGTGAGGAGGCCTGGGCTTGCGGTTTTAGACTTTTATAAATAATGTTGTATTTATTTGTTTATAACTTTAAAATTAATTATATAATTGGAAAATACATCAATATAATTTTTAATTAATTTATTCTCTATATATCTTTTATTGATGTGGGTATATATTGTATTGTATTGCATCGAACAATTATATTCTAACCACCAATAAAGGGACAAAATTTTTATATATGTTAAGTTAGTCTAAAATTGGAAAATAAAATGCCATGTTTGGAATATGCAAGTATAGTCGGTAGAATGTTAAATTTGATTATATGCATGTACATATACATATAAGAAAAAATTGGTCGTGACAACAACTTTCTAACTAATGGGTTCTTCAACAACTATGTGTATTAATTTGTGACTTTTAATTGTTTACTTTATAATATAACATATGCATATATATATATAGAGAGAGAGAGAGAGAGAGGCTCAAGTAATAGTTTTCTTAAAATAAAATAGAGAAATTAGCAAGAGTAGACACTGATTCAAATATTTATTTAATTTATAGGAAAATATTATATTAATCCGTGAAATTTAATAATTTATATTTTAATTTATTATACGTTTTGAGTTAAAAAGAATAACGTGCACAATAATAATACTTAGAAAATGGAATAACCAGCGTAGGGGCCCATTATCATTGGATTCCCCCCTGGTCGGTGACAAGTGACCCCCGGGTCATCTTATTGGTACCCACTGAATAATTCCAAATTATTATTATTATTATTATTATCATCATAATGATTATTAATCAAATAATCGCGGAGCAAAAATCAAATATAATAATTTTGACAAAATAAATCGAATTTAGGCCGATAGTTTTTTAGTTTTTAGATAAATTATATTAAAAAATTTAATATTGGAATATATTTATAAATATATTGTACAAATGGAACCCTAGTTTCATGCCAAGAAAAACCAGATCATCCAAAAAAATGGCCATTCTAGAAGTACAGCTTATATTGTATACCACACCAGTATACACATATCCATATACATATATATATATATATATATAGATATATTATTCCCAAACTCCCAAGTAAGAACATACAAGCTTTTCAAGTTCCATCGAGTTCTGATAACCATTTTCATTCTGGTTAGAAAATGGCCAGGCAAGGCATTGTTAAATACATAAATGACATATATATATATATACTCTGTCGTCTGTTCTAAAATTGGTGTTATAAACAAATTCAGTAAAACCTGGTTGGTTATACAAGTCTTCATCTCTCCTTTATTTCTCACATTGCCGTAACCCGATCCGGCTGCATCTCCTCCTCTCATCATTTCATTTCAGAGAAACCACTTGACAACCTGAAAATTTCAGACTCGGTGAGTTTCAGATTATAATACTTATGTGCTTAATATAAAGTTTGCAGTGACTGAGTTGATATTCGTATGGAGCAACGTGCCTCACCTTCAAAAAAACGAAACACTGAGGATTGATGTCATCGCTGAACCGACATATAATGAATTAAGATGGAATGGAGCCAGCACTTGGAACGTAAGGAGGAGGCCGGATATTACTCTCATCCAAAGAGTCTACTCTGCGACCCACTGCATTGTTCTGCTGGTTTTCCTCTGTCACTGGACAATTAGTGGAGTGATCGGATGATAAAGAAGCTTGGCCGGGTCTATTGTTTTCTCTACTTCCAAGACGCTCCATCATGCAAGATACACTAGCAATTCCAGCATTCACTTCCCTTCGAACTTCAGAGCTAATATCAGACATCGAAGTACGGGAGAAGAACCTTTCTTTCCACCCTCTCGCACTCTTTGAAATTGAATCCCTGTACCTGGATTTTAGGATGGCATTAATAGCGAATTAGTAATACATGTTGACTAACTAATCTCCTAAGTAATTCGTACCTCATTGACACAGCATTAAATCTAGATTTCAGGGACTCAGAGAAAGAATGGAAGTCTGATGATCCTGCTCCATCTTGATTTGATGGTGAGGAAGGACCAGAGATGTTTCTGGAATAAAAAAGCCAATGAAATAAGATAAAAATAGATGTATAAAATATTTTCCAAAGATAAAGATCTGGCATCAGAAACAGTGCTTGAGGATGCAAAGGGAAGAAAATGGAGCTCATGATTACCGATGATTATTAAGGGACAATCCCCGTCTATTTGTTGGCATTGAGCTAGACCCAGATGCAGAATGAAAAGTTCGACTAGATCGAGTTCGAGAAATATGCTGGACTGACTCATCCCGACCGGAAGACAGGGGAATGGATGGAGTGACAACATTGATTGCAGCTGGTTCAGTTTGACCTTCTACTTGAACTAGAGAGGATGGAACAGAACCAGATTCTGGTGCATTTGGATGAGAAGAGAATACCAAGAATTGCGGGCGGCCGTGAGCAGATGATCGAATTCTCTGGCCTTCCCTCCTACCAATTTGGTGGGCTCTTCCCATGGCAGCTGCTGCTGCCAAGTGCTGAATTATCCGCTCTTCAAGTTCAGAATCACTTGCACCAACTGGTAACTGCATAATTATATAAACTTATATTCAGTATTATTAGAAGGGAACACCGTATATGTAATAAACCAATCAAATATTCACACAATACACACACACACACGCACGCACACACACACAAAAGAGTAGATGTCATAGTATGAACGGACATGCTGCAATTCGAATTCACCAAGTGTGGTATGATGAAATACGGCTGAATTTCTTGATGAAGTAACCCTAAATCTCCTCTCCCGTTTCCACTGCTTCAAGCAATTCTTGACTGCCAACACACACTCATCAGATCTTGCAAAGGAGGTACAGTCTCAAAAAGGTTAGAAGCAAATATTAGAACCAAAATCAACCTGGCAGGATCTTTCAGGCTAACATCTTGCCAACACATGGGACACTGAGAGCTCCTCTGGCACCTGTAAATGAAATGCTAACATCCGTTACTCAATTTTAAAATTGAAAGTTTTCTTCAACAGTTCCTTTAAAGTAAAAATTTAGACTTCAACTACACTCCAATATGGAAGTGATGTAAGATATTCTTCTCTTATTCTACGAAGTATTTGGTGAAATTAGAAGAAAAAGATAGGCATAGTTCTAAGGTGTTTGAATTAGAGATTTGGCTAGGATTTAGAATATTCCAGGAAAAATCTATATTGTTACCCCAGATGCAAGCTAATGATACACATTTCCTTGACCTACAACAGAGTGTTTTTTTGGTGCATATTTAATTGAATGTGAGAAAACAATGTTTAAAACATGGAGAAAGAAGACCCTGCAATAAATTGACCCAGTTTAGAAAAAAATATTATTAAGAATACAAATGTGTGTGTGTGCTTGTGTGTGTTAGAATTATATCGTAAAATTATATCGTTACTTATCTGTTTTTTCAAAGATCTTTTGACTCCTGACCCCTCTCAAACCCCAACTCCAAATTACACGATTATCCTCCTCTCCCTTGCCCTCTCATCTCCCCAAACCCACTAACCATTTGGTTCCATTAGAGATTTCAACCCACGTCTCCAGAACTATCTTCAATATGTGTTTTTGTGTGTGTTTGTGTTTAATGATTGGCAAAGATAAATATTCTAGAACGCCTGCCACATGAAAGCTCATACAAAAAATTGTTTCAAGAAAGTCAAAAGCCATAAAGAAAACCAACATCTGTTAAATTAGAAAGAAAAGATGATAACTTCAAAAATATATTAAGCTACCATTCGAGGATGCATTGAAGATGATACTCGTGCTTGCAAGAGGTCACCTGCAATGCAATAAACAGAACAATAACTAAATTTAAATCACCTATGCACAGAAAGAACATTTAGAAACACACCATAATGAAAGAAGCAGTAAGAACGGGAAGCTACAAGATATGAATTACCGTTGAAGGATCACTATCAGTGAACTCCTCGAGGCATATGCTGCAAGTATCATCGCAGGCATCTTGTATACCTCCTTCCACAAAGGCAGCAGCTGATGTAAGACTAGTTTCAGACTTATTGCCCTCCTCCATCTCCATAACCTTTCAAAACACAAGCGAAAGGAATAAGGGCATAGCTAACTAAAATTCGTATTGAATTTTATGATCTTCTATTGCTGATGCATAAAAAAGCGCATATTGAAAGCAGAGCTAGAAGATGACTATAGCAATTATAACATGATTGACATTTTCCAATAGGCTCTTAAGAATTTAGGAAGCAGGCCCTTACCAAATCCAGATATCATTTATAAGATTTAACTCAGATAACAAATTTTGAGTATGCAAAGTTTTATGAATTTCCCACGAGAGCTACTTTTGGGAAATGAAAAACACCAAAGAACCAAATACATGATTTCGGTCGGCAACTCAAAATGATATATTCATGCATATATACATATAGCAGTGAAAATAGATATGATAAAGAAGGAAAGCAATCATCATGTTCATGCATCAGAAAAAAAAAAAAAGACAAACAAAAATCTCTTCAAGGAGCTATAATGTTTTACATAGAAACAGACCCGAGAGGCAAAAATAAAGAAAAAAAATATATGAAATTGCCAAGAATATCTACTCATGAACATCGACGGTAAAATCGGTTAACATACACAAAATCCACGAATCAATTTCTCATATTTTCAAAATAAAGATCATAAAACATTAACAGACGTTTCTAAAGGCGGATAAAAGGAATGAAAGAAGAAAAACAACAGGGGTTTACCTCCGCGAACAGAACCAGAAATGGTTCCAAAAAAAAATGGATCGAGAAACTCAGCGCACCCCCATGAAATGAGGAAGATCCCCTTGTTGCGTAGAGAATATTAGGGATCCATAACAAGAAATGACAAGTCCTAGAATTCAGAGAAGAGGAAGAAGAAGAAGAAGACGACGATTATGATGATAATGATTAGTGCAATGATGGAGATAGGTAGAGAGATAAAGAAAGAAAAAAATGAAAACCCAACCCAACCACCTTTACCTTTAAAATTTAAGGGATGTGTTTTTGTTTGTCTGTTTCCTGCGTTGGCAAATTAAGAACGACAAATCCCCCACCACCACCACCATAACCCCAAAAAAGGAGAAACCTCTCTCTGTTTCACAATCGGATCTTATGATTATCTATTCTCGAACCTCGTGATGAAGAAGAGTATATTCTGTTATAACTTAAATACCCCCACCTTAATTTGTTTTTACATTTTAGTCCTTTTTCTTTTAAATATGTAATTTCTTTTAGTAATCGCGGACTAATTAGAAAAATATCTAATTTATTTTAAATTTTATTTCAAATTTAATTATATTATTTATTACAAATAACAATTTAATATATCTTCTTGGTGATGTGTAAACAAAAATTATTTAATACTTTTAATTTTTATTATTATTTAATATTATCTTCAATGACATTTTGTCATATAATATTTAATTATTTTTATTAAAAATTTATTAAATTAATACGTAATTTACAAAAAAAAAACATAATTTTTTAATATTAATATGCATAACAATACATATAATTATATTATCAAACAACCAATTGTATGAAAATATTTAAAGTAAATATTTTTTTGTAAAAATTTATATTTTTTATTAAAAAAATTAACATAAATATTTTATTTTTTACATGAATCACATAAGAATAACTTTAAAGAGAGAGAGAGAGTAATTTTTTTATGTACTTTATTTTCAAACTCTGTTAGATCGTGAAAACTGACTACTTATTGAATTCAAGTGATAATTGTCGAGTAATGACAACTATTAATTATTAATTCAAATTGGATGGAGTTCTATCATTGACGAACCACTCGATTAAATTCAACAATTATAATTATGATTATTCATCGTAATTTAATATCATTTTTAATTATTTATAATTATCAACCATTTTTTATAATATCAATGTTGATAACTATAGACGATGAGGGAACATAAAAATAAATATACACGTAATAGGTTTTATATTAAAAATTTACTCCAAAGAAATAAAAATAAAATTTGAATAATGTATTTAAATATTGTAAAATTAGTAAAACTTAAAAAAGTAAATTATGGTATTATAATTAAATTTAAACCTATATTGTAAACAAAAATACTTTCATTAAACTAATATTTATAAATAATTAAAAAAAATGCTAATGAAAACGAAAAACCCAAGAGCCCATTAAAAGCCCAATGAAGCCGGTTAATGGGCCTGGCCCATAACCCATGAGAATGAGTCTTCCTCTTTTTTAAAAAAAAAAAATCGAACTTCTTTTTTCTTATTTAATTTGACAAAAAAAGTCAAAGTTTTTTCTCTCCAAAAACTTTATAGCAAAAAAATAAAAAATAAAATAGTAATTCTTAAAATATTTTATAATCATATAATAATATTTATCGACCATAATATAAAATAAAATATTGGGCTTTTACTAAAAAAATAATAACCCAAATATTTTTCAAAATTTTAATAATTTTTAAATCCCATTGCTCAATAACAATAACATGACACATCTACAATGGTTAAATACAAAAATCTAAAATATTTGTATTTATATGAATATGTAGCATTGAATTGGAATTTAAAAATGCCAAAAAAAAAAAGTTGGGTTTCTATTTTTCCACCATAATATTATATATATATATATGTATATGTATATGTATATATAATGTTAGCACGAGTCATTGCATTAGTGGAAGTGCTTACATTTTGCTTTTGTAAGAAATTTAGTCAAATCAAACATAATAAAGTGAAGTCAATTTCATCATTATTATTATAAATAAGTAAGAAATTTCATATTTAATATATAAAAACTTCAACATGGGTTTATTTGAAAATTTTATTAAATTATTATTTTTTAATAATTTAACTTTAATAAAATTCTAATTTCATCAAACGTGTAATAACTTATTGAAAATAAACTAAATTTAATATATATAGTCTTATCATATTCTAATAAATTAAGTTATAAAATTTTATTGATATACTTTAAGTAAAATATAAAAAACTTTAATTAATAAATTAAATTAATTTTTATTTTATATTTTATGGTTTAATTTTACCAAACTATATAATCATACATCAATAACATATTTATTAAAATATATAATTAATTAAAGGAGGGATAATAGCTTTAAGACAATATGATTAGGAGGGGGTATTAAATTTAATGATCCATTAGCCAAATTAAATGATTATGGAATCTGATTTCGGCGTCTATTAAAAATATAAATAACTTTTCCACCTCTTATATACATATGTGTGTGTGTGTGTATATATATATGTATATATATATATAGATATATATATATATGTATATGATATTTGCATTTGTTGAATCATTTGCCACGATGCACTTCTTGGTGAGTGATGAAAAGTTAATACCGCAACGTTATTGGATTTGCTTTTTCCAAGTTTCATATGATATTCAAAATAAATATTTTAATAACATTAAAACGATTATTTCCTTTAAAAAATTTTGTTTAATAATGTTTTATTTTTCTTAATGGGTTTAACAAACATTATAAAAACGTATAAATTACATCATTTAATTATAATATAATGATAATTATATATTTTTTTTAAAAAATAACATAAAGCTGTCCTCGCGTAAAATTTTATATCAAATTTATTATTAATTTAATTAAAAAAAAA